TTTAGATCCCAATCTAAAGCAGTGTGTAAGTGAAATTATTGCAATAGCATGCTGACAAGAATTAAAGTGCGCAAGAATATCATTGAAGAACAAGAGAGTAAGGCTAAAGGCGTTCTTAGGGAGTCCGGATTCACCACTAAAATTTATGCTACTTAATCGTGTGTACCTAGGAAGTCTCTGATATGAACCCTCTTTAATGGCTTTTGTTTAATTCACCAAATAATTGCTTTAGTTGTTCTTAGTCTTAGTAAAATCTGACAAGGTTAGAGCGAGACTGAAAGAGTGAAAAAAATATAGTCAGAGGCCCACTGGCGGTTGTTGATCTAGGCTACTTTCTGAAATATATATAGTAACTAAAAATTGATAGATATTTTCAGGAAAAATACTGCATAGTATTGTAAATTTTCAACTTGTTGCGTCCAAAAGTAGAGTATACAGTGCTATTTCACTGTGTTGATTCCTTTTAAGCACAAATAAAAAAAGAGGAAGATCAAGCTTCATTAACTCGAAATAGGCTTTTGTCTCGCTTCATAAATAAGGCAATCATGTCCATAGAAGTAGTTCAAGTGCGAGAAAGTTTAGGACCTGTTCTGATCTCCTCCAGCTTCCATCTTCTCAAATTCCTGGAGTGAATCTGTCTCGAACGGTAGAAGCCAGGGAAACCCAGCTCCACGAAAGCAAAAAGTGAGAGTTGAGAGTATTTACAGTGGTGTTGCCATCGTCGAAGAAAACGATTTGTTATTCTCTCCCTCGAAACAGAAAACGATTTGCTAGAGGAGCGGCTCCCTCTCTCCGAAATCACTAATTAAGGAGTACTCGTTGCAAAGAACACTCCACTTTCTCAGGTCACGACAAGTGGCGCACATGCCGCCACTTGTCGCAACCTGAGAGTTTTCCCTTTTTTCGTAGATTCGTTTATTCAAAAAAAATTATCTCTTAAACCGTGCGTCCAAATCTCGAACCGTTTTCACCATTGGATTCCTCGCGTCGAGATCTTCAAAACTAGATCCCACGTTGATAGGTTTTGACGAACTTTTTTTTCACGAAAAAACCGGACGAAAAAAACCGGGCGAAAAAAACGAACGGGGAGCATGGTTTTTTTCCCTTTCCAAAAGAGGCACGTCCGTGCCTCTCGCGAAATCACAACCGTGTCTCTCATGAAAGCAAAACCATGACTCTCGTGAAAGAAAAAAAAACAAAAAACACGTTTTTTCGTTTCTGAGAGGCACAGCCGTGACTCTCACGAAGGTATACAACCGTGCCTGCGAAGCAAAACCGTGACTCTCGCAAAAAAAACAGAAAATGTGTGTTTTTCCCTTTCCTAGAGGCACGGTCGTGACTTTCGCGAAAGCACAACCGTGCCTCTCGCGGAAGCAAAACCGTGACTCTCACAAAAGAAAAAAAAACAGAAAACGTGTTTTGTTTTTCCCTTTTCCGAGAGGCACGGCCATGACTCTCGTAAAAGCACAACCGTGCCTCTCGCGGAAGCAAAACCGTGACTCCCGCGAAAGAAAAATAATAGAAAACGTAATTTTTTTTCGTTTTCGAAAGGCACGGTCGTGACTCTCGCTAAAGCACAACCGTGCCTCTCGCGGAAGAAAAACCGTTACTTTCGCGAAAGGAAAATAAAAGAAAACATGTTTTTTTTCATGCAAAAAAATTCAATTTTTTTTGATCGAAAAGCTAAGGAAGACCGGGGGAAAACTAAAACGTCGAAAAACCCGGAAAAAAACCCGTTTAAAAAGCCGAAAACGCGTACGGAAAAATAAAAAAACTAAATCCGAAGGAAGCGTCCAGAGCGCGACACGTGGCGCTGATCGTTGCGAGGCTCCCAAAGGAGCGCTCGTTAACTAGTTGCTCCCCTCTCTCTCGTACATAATAGAGCTGGCCGAACTGGGCTGGCTCCAGACGGCCCGTTATGGCGCTTAGGCAGGCCAGCAACGCTGCCAGCCCATGCTAGCGATGGAGGAGAAGCGTAGCTATGCTGCCGAACGGAATGACTTCTCTACGTGGAGCAAGAAGCTGGATTCGTGGAGTTTGGAGAGTTGGGATGAGTTCCGAACTTGAACTAAATAAGAGATTTGCTGGGGCAACAATACACACATGCCACATGCCAGGAAGCAGAAGAAAAAGGCTATACCCGATTCCTCAGAGTAAAAAGATCAGGATTCATTAACTATATTTAAGCTCAGATCGAAAAAGCAGTACAAATTTAAGCGTATATTGAGCAAATTACTTCTCTGCAGGAGAAGTGTAGACCTCAAGCATATATACACGGCTGCCTAATTAACGTGTGACCTGCTAGTTTCAGATCATAATATATAGTAGTACCGAATCTCTGACCCAACCATAGACCATTGCACATATGTAAACTAGAACCAGCTGTGTCTGGCTGCACACAGCAACGATGCAACCAAACTGAAAACGCTAAGCAAACTACAAAAAAACTGAAAATCACTCATCGATCTAGAGTATCAAACAAATTTAACCCTGCATGTTGATGGCGATCAGGCAGACCGAGGCCCCGTCCTCGATGCCATGGTCCGCGAGCGTCCGGGCATCCTCCAGCCCCTGATCGGCGAAGAAGAGGAGCTGCTGCTGCGGGGGAACCCCCTCCTTCTCCATGATCTTCGCCTTCACGCTGCCGACGGTG